ATTGTTGGTGGGCTTGTTAGATTGTTTTTAATGTTATATAATTGTTTTATAAAAATATGTTTTTCATTTTAAAGTTGCAATCTTCTATAGGTTTTTTTTTATCCTAATTCTACATTTTAAGTTGCATGTCTACGAAAGGCACAAATTCTGGGGCAAAACAGGTTAATTTTTTGATCTACTTCAAAACAGGTTAATTCGCCATTTCAATAGCACAAACCATGGAGGGTTTGTGCTTTGCAGAGAAAGTTGGGGCTCGCATTGTTCGATTTTCAAGTCAGAAATACACATAGAGTTGGGTATGTTTGTCTCGCTCTTATCATTTTAATCTCGCAGTTGTTCTTGAATATCTTTACTGTCGAGGTAATTATTTTATGGTTATGAAGGCTATTTATTGATTCATGGTTATGATAATTTAGGAGAATGATTTATCAATGGCCAACTTTGCTTTTCTTTTTCATGGATCATTGGTAGTGCTTCATTATTTTTCTCTAACTTTTTTTGTTTTGTTCGTATATTGATGTTGTATTGCTCCTTAATTCTCATCGATTCAAGGTCTCATTGCTCGTCATCCCTATAACCGTGCATCATTTTTTTGCTCCTCAATCCTAAAATTGTTCATGTATTGCTGGTTTATGGGATTATTGTTGATTTTTTTGTTTTGGTGAAAAATTTGATAGCAGACCGTGGGTATCTGTTACTGATGTCTGTGTCCTCAACTTCTTGTTTGTTTGTGACATTTTCTTGTAATTTATTTTTTATTTGTTACAAGTTATCTATCATTTTGCTTCAGCTCTTCATTGAGCTTTTAATGCTTTTACATCTCATCTAGATTGGGTGAGGTTTTAATTTCGTATTTACCTTATGCAATCCTTCATGATTTTCCTCATAAAATGCATGTTGTGTATTATGAGTTATAAATATGGAATTAATCGTGCATCTTGTTTTTAGGGCACATCTCTTATTCTTATGGAATTTATGCCTGCATCATTTTCTTTTCCTTTTAGAAATTTAATTTGATAGATAGTCTAAATTCAATCAATAGTCTAAAATTTTAAATCCCCAATGGTGTTGAGGTTTGAAAAAAAAAATTACCTTGAGTTGCATTATGCAAAGAGGGATGGATCGATGTGTAAGGCTTTATTTAGTTTTTGTGTTATCGAAAATGCAAATAGCACCTTGCTTGGGTAAAATATTGAGGCAAAAATGTCCCAAATAAATAATTTTTTTATGAACTTTTTATTTTCAAAAAATTTACAAGGAAATAATAAGATGATGAGGGAAGATGTGACATGGCAGTATGACATAAAAGTGAATGACAAGGAACAAGTTAGATGTAATTTCTGTAACAAGGAAATGTGTAGTGGTATATATATCCTAAAAGAGCACCTTACTTGGGTAAAGGGTAATATCACCAGCTATAAAGAAGTGCTATCGACAGTAAAACAACAAATGTTAAAATTAATTATTGATGGGAAAGGAAAAAAGGAGCATAGAGAAATGGATGCGAATGAGCTAGGGAGGGGGTACGAAAGTCCAATAGATGAGGATGAGGACCAAGAAGCAGAGTTCGAGGTGCAAATGGAACGAGCTAAGATTGCCAGCCTCCAAGAGCTGAATTATAAACAAATGAAAATTCAACAGAAGTATAGGAGAAGGGATGGTACATCCACTAGCCATCAGATTCAACAACATGTAGTACTGGGTAGGGGAGGATGCGGGCCTTCATTGCTTATGTCAACATCTAGTAGATTAAGGCGTAGTTTCTCTAGTCGTCCATCCTCTTATAGTCAGCCATCTACTACGCACTGATATGAACCAAGAGATGTGCCACCAATGACTCGCGAACCCTCTAGACTTGATCCCCACAAGCCACAATATCATCAAAATAAATAAAATTTTCATCAGCAGGTATATTAATAGAAAAGGCGAAAAGGATGATTAACATATTCTGGTATATAATGCACTGTCATTTAATTCTACGAGCTTAGACTTCTACCTATAGATGATATCTGTTATAGCTAAGACAAGGCTAGGTGTTAGAGGCCCAACTGCGAAGGAGCATGCAGGGCCATGTTTAGAAGCTATTGTTTAGGATATCGATAAGCATATTGCGCAGTTCAAGGTATGTTGGTCAGGTACAGTAGTGACCATCATGACATATGGTTGGAAGGACAAGTCCCACAGGTATCTTGTCAATTTTTTAATAAGTTTCCCTAAGGGCATTGTTTACCACTCGAGCATTGACTTATTAAGAAATAATCATACTGGAAGACTGATATGCACACCTTGGACAAGATTGTAGATGAGGTTGGGCTTGAAAATGTGGTCCAAGTAGTGACTGACAATGCTGCAAACTACAGAAAAGCAGACTTGGTGCTAATGGAGAGAAGACCCAATCATTATTAGACTCCATGTATTATCATTGTATTAATTTGATGTTTAAAGATATAAGGAAGCTGAAGAGGGTTAAAATTTATATTTTAAAGTGCAAGTTGTTTTACAAGATTCATATACAATCACACATACCTCCATGCTTTGATGAGGAAGCATTGCATACGAGAGACTGTTAAAGAGTCCACTACTACGTTCGCCACAACGTTCCTTACTATACAATCAATATTGGACAACAAGGCAGGATTGAGGTCAATGATACGCTCTAATGAGTGGCAGACTGATAGAGCAGCAACGAGTCAACATGGAAAGCAAGTTGAAACCATCCTTATCGATCAGAGGTTCCAGGCTCTATGCAACAATGTTGTTTCTGTAACTGAACCTTTAATGTGGGTGTTGAGGTTAGCCGACTCTGATGATAAACCCGCAATGGGGTTTTTGGTTCGATGCAATGAGACACGCAAGAAAATTTATATTTCAAAATAACATATGGACTGAAGAGATATTGAAGATCGTTGATAGTAGGTGGAGAGACCAACTGCATCGGGATATCCATGCAGCAAGTAAGTTATGATTTATCGTCGCAATTCATGATTCTTTCTCAGCTCTGAGTATATTTGCTGTAATTAATAATATAACAAACCATGTTCAGGGTTCATTCTTAATCCACAAAACTTGTACTCCAATGCCACCTTAGATGATGCAGATATCATGGAGGGGGTGAGAAACTGCATCTACAAGCTTGAGCCTGATCTTGAAGATGGAGTGTATGCAGGTAAACCTTAATCAAAACGTGTCTGTAATAAAATTTCAATTTAGAATAATAAATTGTATTTCTATGTTGTACTAATTTCTTGTATTCGCTTCTTGTTATTTGTAGCTTATCATGTACATGGAAAAAAATGGGGAATTTGCATAGAGTATGCCAAAAAAGTTGCTGGAAAATTCACCCAGGTTAGTTTTAGGTTAAAATTTGCAATAGTTTAGTACAATTCTATATGTGGTTTTTTTAAATCAATTTATTTTCTATTGTTAAGTATTTTTATATTTGTCTGTGTCAGCACAATGGTGGTTGATACACGGAATTCGAACAAAGCAATTGCAAAAGATTGCAGATAGAGTTTTGAGTCAAACTTGTGCTTCCTCGGGATGTGACAGAAACTAAAGTACATTTTAGTGAATACATACCCAGAGACGGAATAGGTTAAAAACTCAGACGCTGCACAACTTGGAGTACGTTCTTTACAACTTGAAATTGAGAGAGAGACATATAAAGATGACCCCCACAGATTATACGCCAATCAACCTTGATTACATCGTTTGGAGGGACATCATCGATGAGTGGGTATCACAAAGGACCTTGCTATTAGACCATCATTTTATTAATGGGGCAGTTGTCGATATGGATGATAATGCAGATGTTGCAGCATCCAATGAAGGGGACATTGCAGTGGATATGGATACTGACTGTGACGATTATACACAGGATGAAGATGAGGTACATGATGACGAGAAGACAGATGGGACAATGGAAAACGACTGGCAAGATCTAGTCGTCCAAGAATGTGAAGGGGCGCAACATGATGCAGTGCCCGATGATTAGGAAGATTCAATGAGATTGGCTCAGGAGGAAGTCCATGCATCGAAGCATAGTAGTTACTCGACAAGGGAGAGATGAAGTCGTAGCTGTCACCGTAACGTCATTATTCATGATAATGATAATATTGAAGTTGCTGAGAGCCATAACATAGAACCGGGTAACATAGAATAAGGTGGAGTAACACAGAACAGGGTGGGGGAAAGCATGAAGGGTGGACGAGTCTAGGAGACTTTAGCCAAGGGGGTACTACGAGAAATGTTTCTAACTGGCGAGGGGGCACAACTACGGCATTACAGACTCCACCAGGCCTTACAGTTTTCGCCCTGTAAACCTTGATAGTGAAACATAACAATACCTTGATCCCCCTTGCCACTCTCATTACTATTAGCCATTGTTAATTGGACTTTGTAACTTCATCAATCGAATTAATGTCAAATTATAAATTATCTTGCATATCTCCATAGTATTCAACTATTAATTTATATGAAAAGTTGTTTCAAAAAGTTTTTGTAAGATAAATGCATGTAATATGATAGCATAAACTTAATCTAAGTTTTCTATTTTTTTAAATTTTTGTTTTGGATTTTTTATCTATTTTAAAAAAAAATCTACTTGACCGGTTAGTCCGGTTAATCTCCCCTCGTTAGACTTGTTCTGGTTCAAACCGCTTCCAGCCCCATGTTCGGTTAACCATTCCGGTTCGATTTTGCAAACCTTGGTAAAACTTATCATGAATTCTGGACATACAATATTGCCGACCCCAATTATTTGGGGAAAATGCTATGAATATGAATATAAATGGTGTCATAGTATACAATCCTATTATATAAAAAATTATATACAATGAGACCATTTACTTTTGATACAAGGAGGTTAGAATTATTTACAACCATCCAAAGAAAAATATGATAGCTTTGGTATGTCACAAAGTTCGAGAAAATTTCTTTTGAAGTTTGAGTTTGGTCAATGGAATAAATGCGTCCATCTAATTTCACATTCAAAGGTCAAGATTTTATGGTGACCTTGTATTAAATAATAAAGGAAAAAGTTTATAAAGAGCCAAGTCTATAAACAATCAAATTCGAGCCTACCTAAAAAATTTCACTAGAAGAGGTCGTTTTGATGCCCAAATATCTTCAAATTGATGATTTTGATATTAAGATGCATGGACATGAGAAAAATGGATTTTAAATTTTGGAAATAGTGCATCTTGTAATGCATTTTTAAACCGTTAATTTTCAAGATTTTCACGTTTTCATATCTACCCTATCTACACTATTTTTTAAGCTGTAAATTTTATAATAACTATAAAAATATATTTTAAGGCTATCACAAAGATTTCCAGTATTGAAACCATATTTCTCGGCATTATATTAAGGTAGGTTCTAATTTCATTGTCTAGAGCCTAGGGTCTATACAAACCGCACCCAAAGATAAATGGTATCATTTATACTTTTCCATTATATAAAGGACCCGGTTTCTATGCGGCCAAGCTCGCATTTGTAGAAATGCGGGCCTCTTAATAAATCTATTTTTGAGATAGATTTTAAGACTTAATTTTTAAGGATATGTAAACTCTAACATGGAGAGCACGAATATGAAAAAATAAATAAGAATAAACACTTGAACTAATAATTCTAGTAAGAAAACATTTGGACCATTAGTTTCGATTGTTTTTAGATGAAACACCTACTTGCATCCATCTTTAGAATAGATGCTTTACACTTTCTTGACTGCATGTGTAGAAATGCGGTCCAGCCCGCATGAAACAATTTTCTATGTATAAAAGATTTGGTTTCTATGCGGCCAAGCTCGCATATGTAGAAATGCGGGCTTCTCAACAAATCTGTTTTTGAGATAGATTTTAGAGAAAATTGCGTAGAAATCCGTTATGGTTTACGTTATTACGTTTACACCAAATTGTTTCCGTTATTACAAAAATGTATGTTTTTTACCTTCTATAACACTATTTTTTAAAAAAGACAACTTCACCCCTTTTTGGATGCTCAACATTCGAAAATAGGCTTTAAAAAAAACGTTCACTTTCCTATTTTCGGATGTTCAACATCCGAATTTATGGGATTTTCGGATGTTGAACATCCGAAAATAGCACGACAGTATCTTTCACTTCCTCTTCTCTATTTTTTGCGTTTTTGTTCATTGTTTCAGTGTGCTTCATGTGTGAGTGATTTTGTGCGCCTATTTGATCTCTTATTGGTAAAGAATAGTAGATAGTTCATAGATTTTGATTTTCAATAGTGTACGTCTTTGGCAGACATCATTTCTTGGATTTTGAAGCCATTTCATATAGTGAAGGTATATGGGTCGATTTTTTATATTTAGATTGCCACCTAATTTTTTGTTAGGGTTTATACTCGAGCATACTAGTTTTTTCTCGTGATTTTGGTATAGATTGAATTAATTTGTGGCTCCATTGTAATTGAAATAGATTTGTAAAATTTGAGGGTTTTGAGAACTTGGAATTTTGTGGTCTCTGTAGAACTGTAAATTACTTAAATTTGGGGGTTTATACTCTTAGATAGTCTTAAGCACATATTTGTGTTAGATTTAGTGATATTTTAGTAAATGGTTGATTTTTGTAGTTGATAGATTGAGTAGCTTAAAAATTAAAATTTGTATGTGATTTATGATTCAAGTACATATTTACTTTGAACATTTTGCAAAGTATTTATTGAGTAAATTTATTTGAATTATGATTTATGATTTATGATTTATGATTTATGATTTATGATTCAAGTAACAATGACTACATTTTACAAAATAATTCGTATCTAGATTTATGATTGAAGTACATATTTACTTCGGACATATAAACATTGTGAAATGTATTTATCTATAATCTTTTTTGTTAACTCAAGAAAAAGTTGTGTATTGGTCCTAGGATTGTTAATCATACATAGAAAGACATTTCTATGTATGAAACATTTCATAAAATAGCACCATTTACAGATTAATGGAGTATTTCTTCTTTTGGATACTTGTCAAATAGGTTATATGATTACGTGCTTTTATCTCTATAGTTTGTCTCATTAGGACTGATATTCATATCTATAGTTAGGAAATTTGTTTTCATGTCTCTTGTGATTCTGATCCTTTCTAGTTGATCTATGATTGTGGTTGTCTTATCAGACAAATCCTATATATTTTCGTGACTAAATTTATGATTGAAGCACATATTTAGTTTGAACATTTTAACATTGTATGTGATTTATGTGACTTATATTTTGGATAGAATAATTCGTGACTAGATTTATTTGAGAGCTCATTCGATTTGTGACTTAGCATTGTTTCATTAATTATTTACGCAAATGCATTATGAGGTATTGTTGTCTCGATATTAATTCCATTGTATTATCATGTTCTTTTGATAGAGTAGTATTAGGTTATGGTCTGTAACACCAGTTTATGGTCTAAAATTTATAAATTTTTCTGTTTAATAATAGCATGTCATTATTGTTTTTTTGTTATTCAGTTAATTTTTGCATATGTAACCTTATGATTAACATGGTGACCATATGGGATGTCAATGAATATGAATCGTTTACATCCCATTGGAGGATATCCAAGAGGTCCTCATGACCCTAGTTTGCTACAACTTCATCATGAACATGCATCATATTTCATATGGGAAGGACAAATATATACATATATTCAACTGCCGTTTCTATTAATTTATTATTTTTAAATAAATTGTAGTTAGGTTCAAACATTCTATGAGAAGTACATATATATGTATTAAGACTAATATGTTGTCTATTTGTTGTATTTCAAGAGAAACAAGAAATTCGAATTGATGAGAAGACTTATCAGTTAAACGAATATAATCTAACAGAAGAGCAAGTTCAATTAGTAAACGCATATGGGTTGGGTGTGTTATCTATTATTCGGCCAGACCAAATTAATCATCTTTTGGTCTCAGCTAATGTAGAGAGGTGGCGTTTTGAGACCAATACATTTCATTTCAATATTTTTATTGGTAAGATGATACCAACGCTATTTAATGTATATGAGATATTAGGATTAGTTGTAGATGGCAAGCCAGTTACATGTCATCCTATCAAAGACCTGTGACAGTATATAAAAGACATTTTGGGTATAGTCCCTGATGGCAACCTGGCAGTTCTGAGGCATACATGGTTGAAGGTGAATTTTAAGGAATTGCCACCTGATGCAACCACTGTTGAAGTTTATAGATATACTCGAGCATATATGCTCTTCCTCATCAGCGTCACCATATTCGCTGATGTATCAGTTTCAACAGTGCCAACAAGGCACTTGCAATTTTTTGAAGATATTGAGGGAGGCCACATATGCTTGGGGTGCTGCAACCCTTGCATTCCTCTATCTCTCGCTTGGAAAAGTTTATACTTTTAAGTGAAGACATTTTATTGGTTAAGCCACTCTCATGCAGGTAACCTTTTTTTTCTTGGTATATGACATAAGCGTAATAGTTTAGACTGAGTTTCTAAAATATTGAATATTTATCATATCTTAATTTATTGTAGTGTTGGTCGTATAAGCATATTATGCATATGAGGCCCATACAGCATAGTATCTCTCCAAATATTCCTAGGGCCAAGAGATGGGAGTCTTTCGAAGATTTATCATGACAATCCACATAACCTAATGCCTCCCATCATACAAGAATTTGATAACCTCCAACCTAATGAGGTTAATGTAGAATTTGATATTGATTACTTTTACATGTATTTAAGTATTTGTAATTATTTTTATTGGCTGATTGTATATCATATAACATGTAATATGGAATCGATATTTCAAGCTTGATGAGGTCATTTCAGATGATAGGCAGCAGGCATATCAAACTGCATTGTGCATAATAATGCTCATATTTGACGATATTGCCAAGCTGTACATGCCAGATTGTGTACGCTGGCAATTTGGAGCTAAACATGGCATTCCTAGAAATCCTTTGGTTGTTAGTAAGAGGGCTAGCAGATAAGGTGGACATCGAGATTGGCGAACAGTGAATGCAGACAAAATCCAACACTGGTTGACTTGCCATGACCGCATGATGCCTGAAATTTTAGAAGATACTGACAATGGGTTGCCCTCAGAGGACAACAAGGCCTAGTACAACCTAGTGTTCCATCCTATAATCCATAATGTCCCTAACCCACCCAAAGATATATTGCAATGTCATAACCAGGAAGAAGAAGAAGATGTGGTTCCTGCTCATGAACCACAATATATAATAAGACCTCGAGGTTATGAGGATATGTTGGTATGTTTATATTGATCTACAAATTCTTATACTCTTGTACTTATCTATTAGTTCCATAAAATTGTTAAATATATTAATTACCTATCTTGTTTTTGCATGTTAGTGCAGTTCAGGCATATTTACAATCATATTAGCAGAGGCACTTACACTTACACAGAAGTGGTATCCAATAGTTTATAATCGCATTAACAACACGTTTGACGTTGTCTAAGTTTGTGCATGTGGATATGGATGACGTAGATGCTAAGATGGAAGATTTGCAACGTGAATATAATGACGAAGGTGTACCTGACGAGGCCAGACATGATGTA